CTGCTGACGCTCGCTCTCTGCGATCCCTTGAATCAATCGGCTGCAGACCAAGGTCGAGCAGGAGGTGGAGGCGCTAAGCGAGTACTTTGCCGACATTGATGATACGCCCCTGGAGGAAGAGGAACCGCCCGGCACGAAGTGGGTCTCCATGGTACACTCTACAGTCTATTCACTACACTTGCCCACCCACTCCCGCCAGCGAAGAAGACCTATACTTCATCTGACGCGTTTACATTGCTTTCCCGACTCACGATGATCTCGCAGCCCACGCTCAAGAGCCCTCAGCGCCTTGAGCGGCTGTCCAAGTATCCCACCATCGCCAAAGACTACGACGAGTACAAGAAAGGTGCGCTGGGTGCTCCAAGGGTTATCCTTTCCATCCACCGATCAAATGGATGGCCATTTGATGAACACCACGGCTGATACCAACGCGCCTCTGGCTCGTCTCTTGTTGCTAATGCAGCTCTCACCGAGGCGCAGGTGAGCCCGGCTCCGATCACGGAGTTCGTCAAGGACCTGGAGGACAAGCGCCTTGAAGCTGTCATCCAGCCGTAGAGCTGCTCAGCGTCCTCCCGTGTGTACAAAAGCAAAGCGGACAACTAACGACCTGTTTCCTTTCCACACTCTTTCGTCTTTATTTCGTTTCGCGTTTGGTTTGCGTTTGGTTTGCGTTTGCGTTTCCTTTTACAGTTTGGTTTTCCTTTTTCAGGGCCGGTCTCTTCGACGGACTAGTCTGTCGAGAGCTGTTCGTACACGCCATGCGGGACAAGTACAGGACGAGGTCGGCCTCTCGCCTCCCCTCAGCCTTGCTCGCCTGGGCAGTGCTGCTCCTCAGCTCCCTGTACACATGCTCCAGCTTGGGTGCCGTGCCACCGCAGCACGGCCCCTTGTGCCCGTTTCACGCCACCTCTTTCGACGACGACTCGGACCTCTACTTCCAGCCCCAGCCTGTTCGTGCCCTCCTCGCCCAAGGCATTTTTTTTCCAGTGACGTAGCTGCGGCACGGTGTAACACATGGCCACGGCAGGTTAATGCCAGCTCGCTCGACAACGCGTGTGGCGTTTCGAGCGCCTCGTGCTGTTCATCTGCCTATCTGGCAAAGGTAGCGCGGCTGCAGGACAACATCAGCAAGCAGCTGGCGGTAAATCTGCGCGTGCCCGAGAGTGTCGAGGGCAAGGACTGCCAGACAGAGCTGAACCAGCTCCGGTGCCTGCCGTGCGCGGCCGACATGAAGGGGCGAGCGCGTCTATGGCCGCCCCTGTCGGACGGCAAGCCCGACCGAAGAAAGAGCGGCGTCGAGGACGTGGAACTCGAGCTTTGTCCCGACTACTGCGCCCGTCTGTACAGCGCGTGCAAGGAAGCTCTGGTGGTCACGAGCGGCGTGAAGGTGCGGCAGCACTACCCGTCATCGTCCGTGTTCTGTCGGCAGCACTTTCGAGAACTTTTCGATGTACGCCTGCAAACGGAAGCCGGGCTCTGCTACCCTGTCGCCCCAGGTCTGCTCCCATTCCCCTGGAGCTCAATCTGGTCGCCACCTTATCTGCTCATTCAACCGTCGCGGCTTGTCCAGGCTGCGAGTATGCGTCACTGGGGCGCCAGTACACGCCGTGCGTAGAGCACAGCGGTACCAGGTCGCTAGTGTTCTTCCCACAGACTTCCGAGTGTCACAATCTACCTCCGCCCATACCCGCCCTGCCATGTCGTGCGTTACCCACACAATGCCACTCACAACTGACAACCAGATGTGGATGCTGACCAACAATCACGGCAGGCGTTGAGTGTGGAAGGGGCAAGTACCTGCCCTGGGGCGCATCCGAGTGCAGCACCTGCGCGCCCGGCACCTTCAGCTCTGGCTGGCCGCTGCGTCTCGCCCAGTGGGACCCGAGAGACTACCTCAACGCATCACTGCCCTTCGTCACCTACTGCGCCGACCCAAAAGGTCGTCGACTACCTCCGAGCTCTTCATGCACTGGGTACGCAGTCCTGGTGGAGAGCCCTGCAGGTGATTCCTGACAGGAGAGGCCTGGTTTTCCACCGCCAGGTGGGTTGTTGATGCTGAGGGCTTCGTTGATTCGGGCAAGACGGCTCACTCGCGACAGTCTGCCCTCGAGGCAAGTCTCAACGTAACGTCTCCCTCGTTCGCCTTTGCGCGCCACATCTGCTGCTGATTTCGTTCCTGGACCCAGTTTATTGAGGCTGGGGACGTCACGTTCACCTTTCAAGTGAGCTCGGAAGCCGGAGCCGATGTGCTCCGGTTCTTCGTCGACGGGGTCATGTTGATGGACCTGCAAAGCGATGTCACGCGATTCACCACGCGCACCTTCAGCGTCTCCCGTGGCAACCACCTGCTCTTGTGGACCTACGCCAAAGACGAGGGCCAGAGCAAGGGCCTCGACAAAGCCGTCCTCTCTGTACGTGAGCCACCGCCACCGCTCCTGCACTGTAACTTGCAGTGCCCGGAGTGGTGTTGACCAGAGAGAGCAGGTAATCGAGATCAAGGGCCTGCGGTATGCACAAGACGGCGAATGCAGCAAGTGTCCGCCCGGCACCACCTCACAGGCGGGCGCCGGTGACTGCGAGATGTGCCCCGCCAACTACGTGGCGGCGGAGGCGGGTAGCAGCGCCTGCGAGCCCTGTCCCAGCGACGAATACGCCCTTCCAGGCTCCACCTATTGCTGGCCTCGAGCGCGTACGCTCGCACCAACTCACCGCCTTTGCGGGTCTCTTCTTGCTCTTGGTCAAGAGGCTGACAAAGGTTTTGGCTGCTCGCTGCAGCCTGCCACGAGCACTCCTATCACTACGTTTACTCCGAGTGTGTAAATGGGTCACGGTCCAAGGTCTTGGAGTGGTTCCAGCCGGTGATCTGCAACACATCGAGCATCGACCCGCCATTGCGAGTTGATGGCCTGCCGTGTGGTACGTACACACGATCTCACTCGCCCTGTTACCGCACCTCGGCTAACCTTGGGGCTCGGTCGCACAGTCACCAAGTGTCCAGCGGGCGAACACAAACCCGAGGGAAGCGACACGTGCCGGGCGTGTGCGGACGGGTATTACAGCCGAAGCGGCGGTCGGTGTGAAGCCTGTCGGCCGGGCGAAGTGGCACTGCGCTCGCTGCACTTCAAGAACTTTACGCGATGGGAAGACCTCCCTGGTCTCTCCACCTACTGTTCCGGTCGCTGCACCTCGTACGCCCCCCCCTCGTTCCTAAACTTGCTGGTGGCCCATCACTGACCCAACGGCTGACAGTGGCTGGCTGCTGCACGACACGCATGCCGAGTCGGGGCATGGACACGGCCGCTACGCGCAGTCTACTCTGCAACTGGTGGTGCAAGTGGGTCCGTTGGGAGGCAAGCTGACATTCGGCTTCTCGCTGGTCTGCAGCGAGCGCTGCCGCTTCGAGTTCGCCTCCTCGGGTCGGGTGATGGGCGAGTTCTTCACCGGCGACGCCGACGATAAGGAGTACAGCCTGCCCCAAGGAAACTACACCTTCACGTGGACGTTCACCACCCACCGATCGGGCGACATGCCGTCCAACGATCACGCCACCATCTGGGTACGTGGCACTTACCGTCACACCGCACAGCACGGCATCGAGATTTTCGCGCAGGTTGAAGGAGCCGAACTATGTGGCGTAGTTTATCAGGGCGGTTGGTACGGAGACGGGAGGAGCTGGCAACTGCATGCCGTGCCAGGAGGGGACGTACAGCCCTTCGGTGGGGTCCAGCTGTGTGCCATGCTCTGCCGGCTCGTCCAGGTGAGACCTTCCCGCACTCCACGCCGGACGCATCGTCTGGTGTTACTTACGTGCGCACAGTCGGAGAGGGTCGACGGGGTGCGAGCTCTGTCAAGCTGGTACGTTCAGCCCCGTGGCAGGGTCAAAGTGCTTGGCCTGCGGCAATGGTGTGGCGAGCGTCGATGGCGCCACCAACTGCTCTATCTCTCTCACCTACACCACCACGTAAGCAGCCCCTACCATTCGACCATCAGGCGATTAGTTCGCCCGCACCACTTACGCCTCACTGTCATCAGACTGGCGCTGCCCTCGCGTCCGAACCGAGCCATCACCTTCGACCTGACCGCACTGGTCCAGCGTAACAAGCCGTACGGGCCGGTGCTGGGCGCTCGCGGTATCAAGTACTACATCAACGTGGGCACCCGCGAGGTGGCCCGCGGCCCCTGTCCGCCCGGCTTCGGGTGCGTCGTGTACGCCAACGGCAGCGTAGCGAGTCTGGGCTATGAGATGAGCTACGACGATAACATCATCGACAGCCTGTCGCCAGACAGCGAAGCCACTGGTGCCGTTTCCGCGTTCATCTCTTCATCTTCCCCCTGCATGGCCTTGTCGACTGACCCTGGCACGCGCCGATACCCGCAGAGGTGTCCCGCGAGGCGGCGATCGCGGAGGGCCTGCGGCTGAATTTCACGCGCGGTGATTGCGGTGGCGAGGTCAGGACCACCACTATCGCGTTCATATGCGACCCCAGAGCCGGGAAGGGCACCCCCGAGTTCGTCCACGAGAACCCCGCCTGCCACCACCAGTTCCGCTGGCGGTCCCTCTTCGCGGCACGTCGAACGAGCAACCAAACATGCCTTTTATGAGCGCGCTGAGGGTGGTGCTAACTGTAAGCAATATCACAGTGCCCGCTGTGCGCGAAAGACGACATGGTGTTCGACTACGGCAAGTGCGATAACGGCACCCGGCCCAAGGTGTGGAGCTGGCTGGAGGAACCTCGACAGCAGCGCTGCCACGGCGGCCTCCCACTGCCGCCCACGAGCGCTGAACCCTGCGGTGCGTTGTTGTGTTTTGCTGGGCCGCGGCTTCTTTAGTCCGTTGCTTGCTTTTCTTGTCGACCGGGCCTCACTCCACCTTCGATCAGGCCTACTCGACCTGCAGACGTGTTCGCCTGGCGAGTACCTGCCGGCGGACAGCGCCGAGTGCCTGCCATGTGCGCCGGGCCACTACAGCGTGGGCGCCGGCGTGATCTACTCAGCGTGGGACCCACTGCCGTCCGTGTTCAACGCATCATGCGCTGAATGCCCGGGCTGGAGCTCGCCGTCGGCAGGGGCGACGCTACGGAGCGGGGAGGGCACCTCGACCCTGAGCGCCCGGTTCAACTTCTTCGTGGAGGGCACGATCGAATTCTCCTACAAGGTGCATTCAAGCTCGCCACGCAGCGTCTTCAAGTTCTTCATCGACGCCGAGGAGGAGCTCTCGCTCAACTCCACAAGCTCTTTATCATGGTGCAACACGCACACGCACACGCACCACCACACACGCTCAACGCCATCAGAAACATAGCTGCCGATTCATCACTGCTGCTGCCTCACCACCACCGTTGCTGCAGGGAGACTGTGGTCTTTCCCATGGGTCACGGCACCCACGTGTTTCGATGGACATTCACCTCAGGCAGCACTACAACTCCCACGTACGCTGCACCTGGCTCCACGAGCTTTCTCCGTCAGGTCCGCTGAATGAGCATCTACCACGCGCAGGACTCGAGGAAACGCGGCGGAGCTGTCGTGGGTGAGGCTGTGGGGCACGGACTATGCGGAGACGTGGTGCCGGTCCTGCCCTCTCGGCACGGCGGCGCAGCGGTTCGGATCGACCGAGTGCTCGCGGTGCGGGCTCCACCACCACACCCTGCACGAGCAGTCGTCGGAATGCGCGCCCTGCCCGGCCGATGAATACTCGCTCACCGGGCTCACCTGCACACCTCGGCCCAACTGTACGTGAACGCTTACATGCACCACCGCACCCGGTCCGTTCATTAGATATAACAGAGATACCCGCAGGCACGGCCGAGGACTACCTGGAGGTAGACGGCCCGTGCGTCGGCGGCAGGCGAGAGAGGACTCTCGCCCCGCTGCAGCCCCAGATCTGCCTCGATCGTGGCGCCGTCTTTGCCAATACCACCGTGCTGCCGTGCGCCGCCTGTCGGCCCGGGTTCCACCCAACAGGTGCGTCCCGCATGGACTGTGTGTGTGCACTCGCCTTAGTGAGCTCGTCTGCTCACGTCATGAGCAGGTTCAGACTGTGCCAGTGCGCGAGCGGGCAGTTCTACAGTGCGAGTACGTCGGCTTGCGAGGTGGCGCCGGCCGGGTACGCCGCGGTGAAGCTGCGGACGTACTTCTATCCCGACCACCCGAGCCTGGACCCCGCTCAGCAGGCACTGCAGATATCGACCTCGGCCTGGGGCGATGGCTGGAGCACCAACTGCAGCGCCGTCGGTGTGTGTGGTTCTGGGTACGTCGTGTTACACACACACGCACCACGCACGCACGCACACACGCACACGCACACACTGACGTGTTTGATTCCCCACGTAGCGGCTGGCGTTTGCGGGGCAACTACATGGACTCAGGTGTAAATATCGGGAACGTGGATTCATATGTCACGCTGAACCTCACTGTACGTCTCCACACGCGAAGCTGCTGGCGATTGATCGATGGTTGCTCACCCGTGCTGTGTCTATGATAGATGGAGACGGAGGGACAGCTGAGCTTCGAGTACGCGGGCGAGGACACGACGCCCGTGGAGGAGGGGAACGGGCTGCTCCTGTTCGTGAACGGCGAGTTCACGGACTTGCCCTACGTCAGCCACTCCTCCGCGGACGCCACCGCCGCTACCACCACCACCACCACTAAGGAGGCCTGGCAGTGGCGCGCCTATTCGCGGTTCCTCCCGGCCGGCGAGTTGCTGCTCGTGTGGAGCTATCACCAGGACAACGGGACTGCCGGAGCCAGCCGAGTACGTGCCATTCGCACCATCGAGCACGATCGCACGCACAACACGCACAACACGCGCGTATCTAACCGACGGCGGGCGGGCGTTGTTGCAGGCGATGGTGAGACGGATTCAGATACTGGGCGCGAGCAGCGGGGGAGGGGTCGACTGGAGCCTCAAGACGTGCGGCGAGGGAACGTTTAGTGCGTCGCCCGGCAGCACCGGCTGCCAGCCCTGTCCGCCCGGCCATGCCAACCCCAACCTGGAGCCCTCCCTCTCGGTTCGATCCCTCGCATCCAGTCCTGCCCTCCCGTTCAGTGATGTGGCTGACACACGACACACACGACACGCATCACACGCACACACGGCACGGTACGTAACTGAGTACAGTGTGAGCCGTGCGAGGCGGGCCACTTTGCGCAGGCGGGAAGCAAGGCGTGCCTGCCGTGCGGACAGGGCACGGTGAGCCGTACGGGCGCCGCCTACTGCTCGGCGCCCGACCACTGCACCTTCACCGCGGTGCCCTCCGGCAGCCAGTACCGCCTCGGCGCCCTCCAGCACAGGTGGTCCCCCGCCACCCACCGTCTGCTCGCTCAGCCCTGAGCTGCATAGCTAACCCTCATCGCGACAGGGGAGGCGTTGGGCCGCTGGCGGAGGCGAACGAGAAGACGGAGGTGCTGATGTCGCTGTGTGAGCCCCTGACGGACAACGTGTGCCGGGAGAGCTCCGGCCGCTACATCCACCCGTATGTGTGCGAGCGCGAGCGATCGGGCCTGGGCAATGGCAGCGACGCCGGGAGCGTGCTGGCCTTCGAGGAGCTGGCCGTCGGCAGCTTCCGGCTGGTCTTCACGCCCCAGAGCCAATCGATCGTCGACGCCACCTGCCCCGATGGCCTGCCGCCGTCCACGTACGCTGGCCCCACCCAAACCCTGATCGTGATCGCATTGTTGACGTCGTGAGGGATCGACACTGTGTTGTGGGGTCACTGCGTCGTGTCGTGTCGTGCGTAGGATCATCAATTTCCAATGTGGCGCCAAGGAGCACGGTCGAGGAGCGCCCGTGCGGATGAGCGCTGCGGAGGACGCGCTGGCCGACTGTCATCGGATGTACAAGTGGCTCAGCATCTACGCCTGCCACCTCTGCGATGCCGGTACGGCCTCACACCTGTTGTGCACAGCGTGCGGGAGTGAGTGAGTGAGAGCTGAGTGGGCGGGCCGGCGGGCGGGCCGTCGATCAGATGACTACCGCAAGGTGGTGGGCTTATGCGACGAGGGGAAGCGGCTGACGACGTGGGTGCCCCTCGACGACCGAAGCTGCTTCGAGACCAACCCCAAGCCCTTCACCGACATCCTCGACAACTGCGGTTTGCTCTCTATCGATATCACACACACACGCGCGCGCGCGCACCACACACACCGCACGCACACCACGAATCTCATGATGGCTGGGTGCAGTGGAGGAAATCCGGTTTCCGGCCTACACGCTGGCGCTGGTGAGCGTGGGCGGTGCGGTGCTGCTGGCCGTGATGGCGCTGGTGAGCGTGCGCAACCGCATGCTCCAGCGGCGGTACGACCTCATCGCCGGCTCTGTCAAGGCCGCCAACGACAACGAGATCGAGATGCAGTTCGCGAGCACCGACCAGATGCTCGCGCCCGAGGACTTTGACCGCCTCTACAAGCGTGAGTGAGCAAACGAAACTCTCTATTTATTTATTTTTATTTATTTATCATATTTAAATCAAGGCACTTGATGTTGCTCTGGCACCGGCACCGGTCGCCTCCGGGACACACGGCGAAATCGCGGCTCCGGTTGACGCGGTTCGACTCCCACACGATGTGCTGGTGGCTGATGCACCACTTGTTCTTGCAGAGGTGCGAGGCGACGTAAAAGGGCTTGTCGACGGGCGCGAGGTGACCCAGGGCGAGGGCCATCACGTGGTGGGCGTTGATCTTGGCGGGCAGGTTAGGGTGGACGGAGCGCCACTTCTTGGGGACCGTGATGCGTCCGTAGCCGCCGCTGCCGCTGCCGGTGAACCGCGTGCAGAAGAGCGTTGGGTTGTCCTGTCCATGCTTCTCGAGCTCGCACTGGCTGTGCACCCGGCTGACGAGGTGATCGCGCAGGCCCGGTGGGATGGTGCGCAGGTAGCTGAGGTCCTTGGGCATGCGCGGTCGCTGTTGTTGTTGTGCAGCCACCGTGACAGCGGCCGTCTCCTCGTCAGTGCTGGCGGCGTTGTCGTCCTCCATGACGACGGGGGCGTGGTGGTGGTGTGGGTGGTCAGCGGCATCATCGTAGAGCGGATCGGGGGATCCGGGGACAGCGCACGCCGAGTCAAGGATGGAGAGTTCTTCCGTCGCTAGTGCGTACTCGGTTGGCGGCAGAGACCATCGGGTGGCAGATTGTGGGCGATCGATCGCCACATAATAATACTCATCATCATCATCATGTTGGTGTTGGTGTTGTTGTTGATGCAACACTTCAATTGCCGCCTCTGCTGCCACACGCCTCTTCCTTTTGTTGTAGTTATTGTTGATGCCCAAGTGCATCTTTTGTTATTATTGTGTGAAAAATGGGAAGCAAGGGAAAGCGGCCAAACGGCCGGATGAACGACGGTGTTGCTGGCTGTGCTCATTTGGGGTTGGTATGTGTTGTCTGTGGTGCGGCGCAATGGCGGCCTAGCCCCCCTTGCTTGCACTGCAACCACTGCACGACTCCGAAAAATATTCAGCAACGTGTATTCTTTTCATTGAGGGCCGCAAGGTGGTGATGTAGGCCTTCCTCCTAGGCTAGGTGCACAACGTAGTAGTACGGGAACCACCCGGTCTTGCCGGTCTTGATCAGTGTACCGAAGTAGAGGCCGTCCTCCGTGTTCACTGCACACATTGCCAGCAGGTGGTGATGAGCACGCCGTATGAGCTTTCAGACACCTTCAATCAATCAAACTCACCTGAGGTGACCTGGATGACGTCGTGGAGCTTGAAACGGAGCTGCCTGCGCTTTCTATTCCCTTTCGTCTCGTGCTCGAACCGCATGTTGCCCTTGAAGTGGTCCAGGGCGCGCACCAGGAAGACCCCTTCCTGCCTCGGGGTCTCCCTTGTGTCTCCCTGGCGGTCACTGGCTTTGCTCGTGTGGCGGGCGGCGGGCATTGACGAGCTTCGAGGCGTTACTCCGCCCCCATGGGGATGCCGCATGCCGAGCGCTTCGACATTGGCTGTCCGTGCGGGCTTGCCCTGCGCCCGCTGCCGCTCGATGGCTTTCCACCTCTCCGATTCACGCAACTGTCGGAGCTACGCAGTGGCCAGGCTTGTTAACAACCCACCCAGGCACGCATCACGCACGCACCACACACGCACACGCACACGCATACACGCAAGCCAAGGGCGCACCTCTTCGAGGCTGGCTTCGATTTGCTTCTGGCGCTCTAGGTCCGCATGGAAGGAGTCGGATCCAAGCAGCTGTGGCCCGAACACGGCGAGCGGTTCTTGCACTTCGTGCTGCACCGCTTCGACGTGTGGTTGCGGCTGCCGCTCTTGACGGCGGGTCGTGGTCGCCGCTTCTTCTTCTTCTTCTTCTTCGATGTCTCGATCGGTCAGCTTGGCTTTTCCCTTGAGCTCGCGCTGCGCCTCCTTGCGTCGTACCTCCTCCGCCAGTGAGCTTCGCTTTTGCTCCTCTTCGCGCATGGCCGCTTCACGCTTGCCATCTCGACACACGCCGCCGAGCTCGTCCGCCTCTCCTCGCTTGGCGTGGGTCTGGCCCATCCTCTGCATCGGCAACCGCGGCCGCGGAGGCACCTCGATGCGGCCCGGAGCACTCGAGGCCGGCGCCGGTGCCTTGCGCCCCCTTGCCAACACCGGTCGTGGAGGCACCCGAATGACCGCGGTCTCCTGGACCGGTGCGGCGCGCTGGGGTGATGGACTCGCCCTGTTGCGTCGAGGCAGCACTGGACGCGGAGGCACCGGGATGGGAGTCCTTGGCACAAAGGCGGACACAGCAGCGACGGGCACGACGTCGTCCTGCCGGTGGCCATCGTCGTCCCACTCGTCGTCGTCATCGTCGTCACATCCGTCCTCCTCCAGCGGCCTTCGCCGCGGCTGGTTGCCGCCGCTCACGCGAGCGGGTTGGGGTGGAGTGGGAAGAGGTGGCAGGGGATAGGGCGGCGGAGGCCGTCGCCGTGGCCGAGCTGGGCAGGGGCGGAGCGGCTGCACTGGGGCAGGTGCAGGTGCGGGCGCAGGAGCCCGATTCGACTCTGGAGCAGCAGGCCTGCACGGGGTGATGGTCCTCTCCAGCCGACCGGGGAGCTGCCGCGCGGCAGGGGGCTTCCTCCTCTTTCTATTGCCCTCGCCCACGCACAGCCACAGCGGAGGTGGCATTTTAGAAGTTTGGTTTGACGGTCGCGGTTCGCGCTCGGTTCGGAACCCTGGTGTCCGTGTAGCGAGCTCCGACCTTCGTTTGCCCGGTGACTCGACTGACCAATCCACACCTGCCATCGCTGTCTTTTCCTCGCTTGACTTGCAACCACCAAGTGAGCTGTAGCGATGAAGGTAAACAAAACAACTGTTTATTTCGAGGGCTGATGCGCGCAAGCAACACGGCTGGGCACCACGCAGGATGACCCGGGACGGCAGTGCGCGGCGGGATCTCGATCTCGAAATCGCTGCCTGCTAGCTGAGAAAATGAGAGAGCAAGAGTTAGAGCGGGGATTGAACGGTGGCACAGATGTGTTCGTTTGTTTGTTGTTGGTGGTGGGTCAGGAAATTGGCTTGATGATCAAGAATTTTTGAGTTCATAGTCGTTCATACGGGAAAAGAATGTGTCATCACTCCGCGGTTGGTGGGCGGGGGAGCTGAGGAGAAGCTTACCAGCTACCTTGGTCAGCGATCAACTCGCGTAGGCTGGCCGATGGCACAATCGCTGCTAATCTCGCTCCGGAGTGATCCGGCACGAGATTGGAGAACGCTCTCCGACTGAGCGCGGCTCCTGAGAAGTGAAGAGTGTTGTGAGTGAACTGTGTGTGGCGCAGCATTAACATTCTAAGCTCCGGAGAAGATTTGGTGATCAGAGAATCGCAATTTACTCTTCAACAGCATTGTTATGAAATCTGAGGTTCATCATCTTCACCAGATGAGAGTGTGCCGAGAGAGTGCAACGTACCGCATGCGTTCTGTATACTTTCGCGCTCGTACTGAGCGGCTGTAGTTTCTCAGGCCATGGTGCTTGTGGTTGTGGGTGAACAAAAGACGAAGAAATAGAGAACACACAATAAAAGCCAAAAAAACATGGTCGACATTTACAAAAACCGGGAAAATGTCCGGCAAGAAGGTGACACCTTGCTCTGCTCCACGTGGGCTCACCACTCGAGGAGGTCGAGCACGTCCTGGGCCACCGCGGCGATCTTGGCGTTGGCGGACGCGCGGTGACGATGCACGAGCTTCTCCAGCGCCATCTCCGTCACGAACGTGGTCGACTCTCGGTCACCGTACATCTGTTGTCAGCGCCGCAAGAGAGAATTGTGTCAGACTCCGCCTGGGAGACGCTGGGCGGGATTATACCAGTGTGCCCAGCGAGATGAGCAGCGGGTAGAGCGTCTCGGGGTCCTCCTCACCCTGTAGCATCTGCAGCGGGAGGCATGTCAACACAATCGATTGCGCGCGCATCAGAGAAGAAGGTGGTGCGGCTCGCAGGTACCTGCTTGATGAGGGCCAGGGCGCATCGTTTGCCGCTGGTCATCGTCGTATCATCGCACAGGATAGAGGAGAAGCTGCCACGACGAAGGAGTAAAGGCGCGAAGGTTGTGATTAGCCGAAGGACCAATCGCGTCGCAGTGGAGTGGAGTGGGCGGAGGGTGTACTTGAGCACGACGTTGGCGACGGGCAGTTTGATGCGTTGGTCCTTGGTGTCGGCCAGCGGCGTGAGGGAGTCCAGGATCTTGGCGGCGTTCTGCGCTGCGACGTTCTCGCAGGCCGGGTGGGCGAACATGTTGGCGAAGAACTTGAGCGCGATCATGCAGTTGGCCTGCGGGTTCTGTGCCGAAATCTGCGAACGAACGCGCAAAACAATAACAACAGCGACAACCACAACAGCACAATCAGCATGCGCGAACAAGGCCAAATGTGGGCGATGATGATGACGACGATGATGGTTGATGATGTGTCTCACCTGCAGGCGCGCGAGAAGGTCGTCCAGGAAGCGCGGGCTTCGGCTGTGCGCGGTCACGTAGTGCTCGGCGGCTCGTGGGTGCAGGATGAGCAGTCGGTGAATGTCCAGCACCGGGAACAGCTTGGCGGCGGGCCAGCCCAGGAATTTGTCGATGAGCGTGAACTCGGATTCGCTGAAATTTGTGGTGGCGTACGCCGCCGTATCGCGGAGAGTGTTCAGCGTTCTGCTGATCAGTTCGAGCTCCGCCGCACTGGCGCTGTGCTTGCCCATAGCCTGCGTGTGTCGGTGGTGTGTGTGTGTTGTGTGTGTTGCGTGTGTGTGTGTAGTGTGTGCGTGCAGGTCACCGGACACGATGATCAGTTCGCCGACACTGTGAAACTGCAGAAGAGGAGAATCGCGCGTACCGCGTCCCCGAGGAACTCGGTGTTGAACTGTAGTAGCTTCTTGTGGATGCCGTCCAATTGTCCCTGCGCATAAAGCACCGGCGCTCCTCGCTGTCCGCGCGAGCCAAGAGAAGGAGTGGTGAGCGCCAGCAGTGGTTGCTCGTGTGTCGTGTGTGTCGTGTCTAACGTGAACTGTACCCTCTTGGGGACGTGCTGGCAGATGGGCAGTGGGGCGACCGACGGCGTGACGGGCAGCTCTGCCGCCGATGCATCCACTCGGGGGCTCTTCTGCTTCTGCTTTTGCTTTTGCTTCTTCCCCTCCTCGTCGTCTTCCTCGCCGTCGCCCTCTTCGTTGTCGTCCTCCACGCCGTACTGACTCCGGGCCAGCTCCTCCATGATAAACCGCAGCGTCTTCTTGGCCAAGAGCTCCACCAGCTGGTCATGCTTGTCGTATCCCACGCCCTGCTCATCAAGGAACGCCTTCACCACCGTCGGAATGTCATCTGCAGGTGTGTTGTGTGTGTTGTGTGTGTGTTGTGTGTGTGTGTGTGTGTGTGTGTGTGTGTGTGTGTGTGTGTGTGTTGTGACGCCATGTGTGAGTGGCACGGGAGAACGATGGTTGACAGCTTTCTGAGAAAGAGAGGCGCAGTCGTACCTTGCTTGTTCCAGGCGATGATGCGCGGAATGGAGTCGCCGAGGTCGGCGTAGCACATGATGTCCCAGACCTTGCCCCGCCACACGAGCTTCTCGGTGCGGGGTCGCTTGGCCAGGTCGCGCTTGATCTGCTCCTCGCGCTCCCTCTTCATCCTGTCAACCAGCTCCAGGATCTTCTTACGCTGGGCGTCCTCCTCCTTTTGCTGCTCCTTCTTCTTGTCCCTGGAAATTAAATGAATTAATCATATTTTGGCCATGCGCAACACACACGACACACGACACACATGACACACACGACACATGACACACATGACACGACACACACAACACGATCTCGCATCATTTGAGATGTGGGAGGCAAGCGTACTCGATGTACTTCTTGAGTTGGGTCAGCGCCTCTCGCTGATCTCTGGTGCTGTCTTCGCCGTACTCTCCCTCCTCTTCTTCGTCCATTTCATCTTCATCTGCGACGAGCAACAACAGAAAGACATTTCTTACAAGTCAGCACTAACACCGTGGTGGCTTCATCATCCGCTCAACACCGGTGATCAGCCCGCGTACCGTCCAGCTTCTTCTCCTTCCCCTTCCCTCGGGGGCTCTTGGCGGCTTGCCCTGCGACAGCCCCAACATATGAGGAATTAGTCACTATTAATAAATATAAATATAAATAATAAGCATACCGGTGAAGGCGCGGGACATGAGCTGGATGAGCTCCTCCTTCTTCTGGCGCTCGATGCGCTGCTCCTCGAGCTTCTTGAGCAGCGGCGGGTCGATAACGGGCGCGTCGAAATGGAGGTAGTCGGCGTAGGTCTCCCCGGCGGCGAGCGAATTGGGGAAGGCGGGCGCGAGCGCGGGCCACTGGACCGCATCGCGGTCGGCGATCTGGACCAGCGGCACGTAGTGGTTCTTGGCGCGGCTCTGCCAGGCCAGGATCAGCGGCCGGTGCCGGCACCTGGCGCGGCCCACGCGCGACGGCACAAAGGTGGCCGCCACGCCCGACTCGCCCTGGCCGAACTTGTCCATATCGCCGTCGTTGGCGTAGATGACGATGGGCCGCGCGATCACGTTGGACAGGGCGAAGATGTGCATGAACTCCAGGTAGGACCCCGACTTGCCGGCGTTGTCCAGGATGCGCTTCCAGTCCTCCTCCCCGAACTGCGGAGCCACCTTGCAGTACCACTCCGCGTTCGCCCGCAGCTCCTCGTGCATGCGCTTGCGCAGCAGCTCGTTGAACACCTGGCGGGGGCAAAGGTGTGGTGTGAGAATTATGTTATCTATCAATCTATTTATTTATTTTGTTAATTTCATTTATTGTTATTTATTACGATTTCTTCTTCAGTTTGTATTCGAAGAAATGGAAAAGAGGAAAGAGAGTGGAAAAGGTGAGCGAGTAGAGGGGGGGGGCGGTACCTCAACGCCAAAGAGGGCGCGGGAGATGGCGTGGAGGAGGCAGTTGCCGTCGCCGGTGGTTCGGAGCGGGATGAGGTTGGAAGGGAACTGCTCCGCCAGGCTCTGGGGCAGGTTCTCAGCCTGTGTAATAATAATAATATAAAGAATATTAATAAAAATAAATACACTAATCAAAAAAGATGGATCCACCCCCATGACAGTACCGTTTCCCAGTCGACCAGCTTGTTGAGGGCATCGTCGTCCATGTAGCTGATAGGAACAAGGAAGGTGGTGTCGCACGACGGAAGCGCTTCCTCCTTCTTCCCGAACAGCATGCACCACTGACAGTTGCACGTGGTGTCGTCCATCATGATGGCCTCAAGTGTTTCTTCTCTCCTTCTCCTTTCCTTCTTTGTGGATTTGAGATGACGTGCGGCCTGCAATACGCGTCTTCCTCCCCTTTTCGTGCTTTTTCACTTTCACAGAATTTGAGCAAAAAGGAAGAAATCAGCAAAAAATAAAGCTTGGCGAATGCAACCTCTCGTTGTTTGGATCCAGCTTGCTGTACAGAGGAGAGAGAGGAAGGATCATCAGAGGCGAACAACCGTCACCGTCACGTTATCTTTACATTCTTTGTTGTGGAGCGCCACCTTCAGCAGGTGCGCCGCCGCCTCTGCCGCCGGTCGCGTTCGCACCAGGTCGAGCGCTCTCCTCCCCGATATCACGTCCCATAACTGTAACAGAGTCATGGGTGGTGTGCGTGATGTTGATATGATGTTGTTGATGTTGTTGGTGTTGGTTAGCCTGGTTAATAGCGATGAAGGCTTCGACGTCGAGGTGCACGTACCCCGTCCGAGGCGAGGATAAGGTGGGTATCGTCGGGGGTGAGCTTGATGGCTTCCGAGATGTAGGGGACGGCGATCATGCCCGACTCGTTGTCCTTCGCAAAGTGATCGCCGAGCGCTCGCGTGATGGCGATGCCGCCGCCTATCCGCGTCTGCCCTTCGTTCACGTCCACGCCCGTCCTCGTCATGCGCTCCCGCTCCTCCTCGTAGGCCAGCTTGTGGTCCCGCGTCAAGGCCACCACCTTGTTCCCGCAGCTGCGCAGGTGACCAAGGAATCAACCAATGGTCAGGCATTGGTCTGGGTGGGCGGGGGTCTAGTCATCATGAGTGTTGGGGCAAGGGGTACGCACTTCATGAAGGCCGACGAGTCGCCCGCGTTGGCGGCCTGCACGTATCGATCGCTGCCGTACCGCCAGACGAGCACGACGGTGGCCGTGCAGCCCTCGTACTCGAACTGCGACATCTTGTTGTCCACGCTCATGAACGCCAAGTGCAGCAGCTCCGTGGCATCTTCCTGGGGCTCTCCGAGCCGCTTCATATGCGCCGTGATTTGCTGTGTGCCCATGACGTTGCGCAATGTCAGCCACATATCGCCATGGAGCAGACGACATCATGCATGAGGAGGAGAAGCGGCTTTACCTGGGGCATGAGGCCAATAGCGGCGTTGGAGGCCTCTTTGCCACCGTGACCATCAAAAACGCAGAACAGGGCGTGCTCCGGCTTGTCACCCAGGGGCACATGTTCGCAGTGCGCGTCCTGGGTCGGGGCGAGGGGGCGATACCAGCCGTCAGCTCCGAAGCACGCACCGTAGCTGTGATGGGAGGGAGGAGCACCTCTTGTTGTATGGCGTCCTTCTTGGCCCGCTGTAGACCGGGTTTGTTCAGGTCCTCCACGGCACAGTACTCCTGGATCAGCAGGCTGCTGTCCCGAGGCAGCACCTCGTTGTCCTCCAGCTCTCGAAGGAACTCTTCCTCGTCTCCGTCTTCGCTCACCACGGACAGCCTCGTCGACGACGCGACGTCGCTACCGGACGACTCCAGGTCCACCTTCTCCTTGCCCGGCTCCGTCAGCTGCAGGCCCTTGGCCGCGTCGTCCAGCTGCTTGAGCAGCTCGTCCTTGGCGGTTTCCGTGTGCCCCATCGTTCGGAACATGTCGAACGTGTTGCCCTCCGTGGCCGGAGGCGCCGCACTCGGCAATCCGATATTTCCATTTCCGTCTGTACACCCAGCCGCCCACCGCACTAAAGATCAGCGCGCCGACAGGGTCGGAGAGGGAGGAAGGGGTTGAACGCACTTGAATGGACGCCCTTGATTCGGGCTCGCCTGCCCAAGGAGCCATTGGGAATTTGGAAGTGCTCCTCGTCCTTCCCCTCTGTGTACAAAGTGACGACGGGGCGTTTGAATGGTGTATGCGAGTCTCGAATGAAAGTGGTGGATGGGGGTACCTTCGCCGCCCGGCGCCAGGTGGCCATAGTTTTCCTTGGGTTTGATGAGGACCTTGGCCTTCTGTCCGGGGGCCGCTCCCGTGAGGAGCGTCTTCAGGGACGTGAGCTCCACGAGCACCTTCTTCCACTCACCTTGGCCTGTACAGCGCCAACGTTGTGGGAAAGTGTGAGCGGGATGGTATATCGGTTGTGTAGAAGTGTGCGCGTGGGGAATAGTGGGTACCGAAGCCGAGCTGCCCGAGAGGATTGCCGCGCATGTCGAGTTCGTCGAGGTTCTTGAGTAATCGGAAGTGATCGGGAAGATCCACCAGGCGGTTCGACATCAGGTGGAGCTTCTTGAGACTGGGTGCGAGGTTGGTGATGGACTGGGGGATCTCCGTGAGGTTGTTGCACTCGACCGACAGCACCTCGACCTTGGGCAGCGTGGTGAGCCCTTCGGGGAAGCTTGTGAACTTGTTGTAGCCAATGCAGAGCTCGATCACATTCTTGAGTCGGCTCAGATCCGTGGGGATGTTCGTGAGCAGATTGTTACTGACATCCACCTTCTCCAGTTGCTCGAACTCCCAGAACTGCGCCGTTCATAGAACATCGATGCAAGTGAGTACTCATTCATAGCCCGTCAGTGGTGGGTAGGACATACCTCGGGAGGCAGCGTTCGAATGAAGTTGCCGGCGAGTCGCACCATCTTGAGACTGCGCATACGGCACAGGTCGGAAGGGACGCTGGCGATGAAGTTGTAGGAGAGATTGAGTGTGTGGAGCTCGTGCATGCCCACGACGGCAGTCGGGAATTGGGCGAGGCGGTTGCTGTTGAGGAACAGCTTGGAGACGGCCTTGAGCTTGGCGATGGACTTGGGCAGCTTGGTGAGGCGATTGTTCTGGACGTCGAGGATGATCAGCTTGGAAAGCTTGTCGATGCTCTTGGGGAGCTTGGTGAGCAGGTTGTGGCTCGCCACCAGCACCGTCAGGTTCGTAAGCTTGACTGCGCGCGAGGCAACACGATTCGTATGAGCGTGGCACGCAATGCAAAGTGGTCCAGCGCGGCTAGAGAAGTGGAAGAGGAAGAGGAAGGGGAGAGGCGGGTTGGCGGTACCAACGTCGGACGTGAGCGAGGTCAGCTTGTTGGCGTGAACGTCGAGGATTTGGAGCGTGTTGCGCGAGAAGAGCGATTCCGGCAGTTCGGTGAGGTCCTGACGGCTCATATCGGCCTGGAAGGAGCTGTCGCCCATCATCGACCACATGGGAGTCTCCTCATCATTTCGAACATCGCTGAAGATGTAAAATGTCGTTGTCAGCAAGAAATGGTGTAGGCCATTGGTACCAGGGGAACTCACCTTCGCCAGACGTGAAGTGATTGACTGCGTACGAGCTCGGGTCGAGAGTTGACCCCCTTGAGAGATGTCGATCGTGGAAGCTCGGCTGGTCTGGAGGGGCCTCCCTGAATGGTGGTGCCCGTGCGATTTTGTCGGGTGATGGGCTGGGGGGCGGCGTGGCTGCTCTTGCTCTTGTCCTTGAGTCGCTTCATCCCTCTCAACAGATCCAGTTTCTGAAGGAGGGCGTGCTTCTTGTCGTGCGAGCCCTCATCTTTCTTTTTCTTTCCATTCTCCTTCGAACCCTCTCCCAGGTCGCTCATCGTGCTGGAGGCGAGAATGTGTTGGAAGTGGATAGCAGATACAATCTATGAATTGGGCAAACCCGATTGTCGAGATCCCCACCGCAAGGTGCAGCTTGTCGCGTGCCCCCCAGGCTAAAATGAACAGCAACACAGAAGAGCCTCTTGTTGCGGGTTGCGCCAACGCCTCGCTCCACAACTTCAAGCTCCGTTAAGAAGGCGGTCGACGGAGCACTTCATTTCTCTTTTCTTTTCCCTGTTTCCCGATTCAATCTTCGATCAATCGAGATTCCAGCAATGTCATTTCTAGGGGGGCTTCCATCCGAGAACAAAAGCAACTTCTCGGTGGTGGCCGCGAGGAAGCCTGGCGCCAGCAACAAGATCAAGCCTTCTTCGAAGGTGCGCTTCTGCAAATTTAATCTTTTTATTATTATTCTGTTGTTTCTTGTGATTTTTACAATCCCGCAGGCACCGGCTCTTTACACAGCCACGCATGACACCGCCCCGCCCTCTAATCAAGGTTCGACCTGCCGCTCAACCCTTGCCTTTCTTGTAATCTCACTTTGTGTTTTCTCCTGTACCTGCAGTCATCGCCACGGAGAAGACGGACCTGCTGTTCCGCAAGCTGATGCAGAAGCAGGAGGGCCTGGTACGTGCACGCCGCTCTTGTACCCTGATGGACATGGAAAGTGGTGATGGGATGATCTGACACCCGGTTGCGCTCTCGGCAGAGCGGTGGTCACAAGCGGGAAGCGGACGACAAGGTCGAGGTGCAGGAACGACGCGCGAAGCAGATCAAGACCTCTCGGGGAAGTGAAAAGGGCAAGGAGCGCCTGGACAAGGAAGAGGAGGAGAACGCCGCCGAAGACGAGGAAGAGGAGGAAGAGAAGACCCAAGCCGCCGTCGTGACGGCGCAGGACGACGAGGCAGAGCAAGAGGAAGAAGAAGCAGAGGTCACAACACAAGGGAAGAAGAACAGAAGGAAGAAGCCCGCCCGTTCCACCACACCAAAGAAGAAGAGAAAGACGGAGGACTAGACCTTCCTTCTGTTCTTCTTCTTCTTCTTGCTCTGCCTCGTCGTCCCAACTCTTCTTCTTTGCTGTGGGCCTGTTCTGCTTTTGTGGGCGAGCCGCCACCTTACAAAAGGGCGGTTGGCGCAAAACACAGGCCACTCCCGTTCCGGCCCCATTGCGCAAGAGTCTGGCCCAAAACACGCAAACCACACACAACGCACGACATACAACGCACACAGCACAGCACGCAGCAGGCAATGGCCACCCACACCATCAAGCAGCTCTACAAAGTGGGCGAGCTCATATTCGCGTTCCACCACTCCTTCCTCTACGAGGCCAAGGTGAGGAGTAGAGGCCTCGTTGTTGGCTTGGGCATTCCCTTGACCTGGGCGCACCTCACCGCACTGACTCTCCTACTCGGTGTGCCGTTGTGTTTGGGGGGGGGGGCAGATACTCGAGACCGAGGTGCGGGCAGAGACCGATAAGAGCACAGGCGTCACCGTGAACAAACCCTACTACAACATCCATTACCAAGGATGGAAGGACAGGTGCCGCTCTCCTCATCATCCTCATCCTCATCATCACCTTCACCTTCATCTTCACCCCCTTTTTGCCCCCACAACCCGCTGGGGTCTTCCTCCTTTTTTCTAATCCCCAGCCGCTCGCCCAAGCAAGCAAAAAACCAAAAAGATTGACCTCCGCCCACACCCCTCGCCGGCCTCGATGACCGTTTGGCTGGTGCCGATGCTAACGATGACGTGTACCTCGGGCTTGTTCTTCTTCTCTTCCACGGGTACGTGTCACAGGTGGGACGAGTGGGTGGACCACTCGCGGATGCTCAAGCACAACCCGTCCAGCGTGCTGATGCGTAACAAGCTGCTGGAAGAGGTGATCAACAACAAGACCGCCGCCAAGAAGGGCAAGTGTACGGAGACTCACACTCCCCAACGGCGTCGCTCCTCCTCCTGCCTTTGTCTCTCACAACTTTGTTATTAATCTTTTGTGGCACACCCTCCGCAGCCAGGAGTAAGCGAAAGGCCGCCGAGTTGGTATGCATACCTCCCCCCTTGCTGCCGTGGCCGACGACGTGTCACCGACTACAACTTGGAAGCTAACTTCGATGCTCTCCGGCATGATGCGCAGCGGCACAAGAATGTGACGCCCATCGACATGCCGGCCAAGCTGCAGAAGAGGCTCGTCCGCGATCAGCGCTTAGTCGCCAGCAAATGCGTACGCCCAGCCCAAGCACACATGCACACACGCACAGACTTGCTCCTGAACCGCACGCGGTACTCGGTGCTGACCTTCAAGACGAACGTGTGTGTGTGTGTGTGTGTGGTGTGTTCCCTCGTCACCAGTTGGTCCCGCTGCCGAGGGAGCCCACCGTTGCCCAGATCCTCAGCGGCTACAAGGCGCAGCTCAAGGAAGGAGAGCAGCAGGAAGGCGAAAGGCGCGTAGATCGCCCATCTACATCGGTTCTCTTCTGGGTGGTGCTCTGCGGCGGAAGTGGCTCATTCCCGGGTATGTGTGGGTGGATGGCTACAGGGAGGTCGAGGTGGTCGATGGGATCCAGAAGTACTTTGACGCGGCCCTGGGCAGTTTGTTGCTCTATCGATTCGAGCGGATCCAGTACGCCGAGGCCATCAAGTCGTTCGCCGGCAAGCGCATGTCCGAGGTCTACGGCGCCGAGCATCTCCTGCGACTCTTCGGTACCCACCACACCGCGCTGCTTCGCTACGTCGTCCGGCAGGTCGCCGAGTCTCTGATGCCTCCTCTTCTCTTTCCTGGGCGCGAACAGCCCAACTTCCTGAGCTCGTGGCGGAGGCGGGCATTGACGAAGAAGGCCGCCTGTACATCAAGGAAAAGGGAGAGGCCATTCTGGAGTACCCCCTCCCCTTTTCACTTCTCCATCTCTTGGTTTCCTTCCCCTTGAGGGCAGCTGCCTGACGAGGACGCGTGCGGTGGTGGTTGCTCTCCTGTGGCGCACAGCTACATCAAGGAGAACAGGAAAACGATGCTGCTCAAGGACTACGAGGAATCCTCCCCGGTCTATCGGCGCATGGCCCATTGACAGTCGTCATCATGCCAAGTCCAAGAGCCAAGACAGATAGGCTTTTGAAGGTGTGCGTGTGTGCACAATACAAGCTTGTGTGGGCTTCAATTGATTGCAGCTTACCGCATGGCACAACCGCCATCCACGGGCCGACGATGAAGCAGCAGGTGGTCTAGTGTGTGTGTGTGGGTGTGTGTACCACCGTTAAATAAGACATGATGGAGGGCTGGTCGAAGAGGAGAGGGCCGTGCAGACGAAGTAGGAAGAAGAAGCAGAGAAAGAGGAAACGGAGGAGGAAGAGGGCCGAGTTATTGTGTGGGAGGGGCCTGCTGCTGTGGTGGCGGACCCTGCGGCGGGAAGGCGGGAGGGCCGCCCATGGGCGGGAACCCCTGCGGGGCAAAGCCCTGCGGCGGGAACGGAGGCGGGAAGGCCCGCGGGGGTCCGCCCATGGGCGGGAAGCCCATCGGCATTGGCATCGACATCGGCGCGCCTCGGCCGAAGCCGCCCGGCGGGAACTGGGGCGCGAACTGGGGCGGCATGTGCTGCGGAGGCATGAAGCCGCCCATGGCGCCCATACCACCCATGGCGCCCATGCCGGGGAGACCGCCACCGGCCGGCGCCGCGAACATCGTGTTGGGCCTGGTCTGGGTGACGAATCGAGCGGGGTTGTTGGCGGCCAGGAGGCGCTCGGCGGCGGAGCCGTGGCGCTCGCCGGTCTTGGAGTCCTTCTTGATGGCGTAGGAGACGGTGATGGCGCGGTTGCACAGGTACTGGTTGTTCATCGACTCGATCGCCGCGTCGGACGATTCGAAGCTGTCGAAGCTCACGAAGCCAAAGCCTCGGCTCTCGCCCGTCTCCGGGTCCCGCATGATCTGTGTGCGCACACCACAACTGTGTGAGCCCAAGCAAGCCCAGCGCTGAAGACGATGTAGAGGGATGGGAGGGCGGGGTACCTTGGGGGTTGTGATGATGACGCCAAAGGCGGAGAAGGTGTCGTAGAGCAGCTTCTCGTCGACCTCGGCGTCGAGGTTGCCGATGAAGAGGTTGGCACCCACGTCCACGGTCTTGCCGTCGCGCTTGGCCTTGTTGACGCGCAGCGGCTTGCCGTAGAGCTTGATCATGTTCATGATCTTGATGGCGTACTCGGCGTCCTCCTCGGTGGCGAACTCGACGAAGCCATAGCCCTGGTGCAGGTTCGTGAGCTTGTCCTTGGGGATGTACACGTTCACTGCATCCCACCATTTTATCAATTAAATCAGTGAGATGTTTCTAATAGGCAGCAAAACGGCATAGAATGAATGAAATCGCGGGGGGAGCGATGATGATGATTTACCAACGGGACCGGACTGCAGCATGAGCTCCCACAGCAGGGCCTCTGACACCCGCGAATCGAGCTCGCCTACATATACAGTGGCATCCTGATTCCGCTCCTCCCTGGCGTACATCGTCTGCTCTTTTGTTCAATCCAGCCAGCCCGCCACAATCTCTTCTTTTTTCTTTAGCGTCCAGGAAAAAGTAAAGAAAAAGAATTAATAAATAAATTGCATTTGATTTTATTTTTATCTTCATTTTTATTCTCTCTGTTCGTAGGCGGTGGCAGCTGAACCAGGGTCGTTGATGTGTTTCTTTTCTGCTATTCTTTTCTTTTCTTGGTTGGTTTGGGTATAGAAGAGGAGATGTGCGCCAGCTTTAGTAGAGAAGCAATCACGTCGTCCCCGAGGGGAGAAAGCAGCTCCGTGGAGATAGCGCTACTATCACTCTTGCATGTCCCACCGTTCTCACCCCGCCGTGTACGCAAAGCGTGAAGCCTCCGGGCAGGGGAGGGCAATGGTGGCCCGCTTGGGTGTAAATTCCACCCTTCGCTCTTCCTTCGTCTCATACCCCGACCTCGGCGCTCACTATTATGGTATCTGCTCTAACCCCGATGCTGAGGAAGACGACCAGAATCAATCCACATTCGCCCAAGAACCAGAAGAAGAACAGGATAACCAAAGGTGTAGTTGATGCTGTGGTCGGGTTGTGTTATGTGTTGTGTGATGTGTGCAAGGAGTTAAAAGCACAAAAAACGATTTAATAGTATTATCTCTCTTTTGGTGATGGTTTTGGTTGGCCCCTGGGGCTTTAGGCCTGCTTCTTCTTGTTGATCTTGCTCCCGCCCTTCTTCTTGGCGCCGCCGCCGTTGCTCTTCTTGGCCTTCTTGCCGCCACCGTTGGCCGCCGCGGCGTCCTTTCGCGGCGTCGTGGGCGTGGAGGTTGGCGTGGCGCTGGCGCTGGTGCTCTCGGTGTCCATGGCGTCCTTGGCGGCCTCGGTGGGTGCGGCGCCACCACCGGCGGCCTCCTGCTGGGCGAGGAGCTGGTACTTGAGCTTCTTCTGGGCCAGCTTCTCGAAGCGCTTGCGGTCGCGCTCCTCCTGTCGCTTCTTCTTCTCCTCCCGTCGCTGCTTCTTGCGGTCCTGCTTGGAGAGCTGGCTCTTCTGCAGCTCGTTGGGCAGCGCGAGCGCGAGGGCGTGGTAGAGCTTGGAGGCGTGGCCGCAGATGGCCTGCGACGCGCGCCGCGCCTCGATGAGGGCATCGAGCACCTCCTGCAGGCTCTTCCGCGCCTGTTCGGGCACGCGCGGCTTCTTGCTCTCCTTCGGGGCGAACAGCTCGGCCTTGACCTTGGCCGGCTCCTGCTTGGCCTTCTCCAGCAGCACGTCCACCACCTGCTTCAAGCACTGCAGCATCGCCACCACGTAGTCCGGCTTCAACTTCTTCTGGTCCTGTTGAGTTGCATCGCGTGCCAAGGCCACGGCGACAGTCAGTACGTGGAGACCATGAACATGACAGAGGCGCAGGGCGGTGTGGGGCGGTGCCTTCAAAATTGCGACGAACGCCTCGCGGATCTGCGGGAGCACGCTCACGACGCCCTCGCCGTTCTCTCCGATGGCCTCCGGCCTCTTGAGGAGGTCCGAGAGGATCACGAAGATGTGCTGCTTGAGGAACGCCGACCGCGCCAGAGTGACGTAGCTCAGGTAGTCTACACACGCACGAGCGACAACAACAGCGTAAGACGGGGACCCTAAGGTGCTCAATTAACCAAGAAAGGGGGGGTAGGTAGCATTTCTGTACCGGGCATGAGCATCCACGACAGCTTGGGGAAGTTCTGGGAGAAGTGGAGGAAGAAGTGGGGCTCGATGCGGGTGCTGTTCCGCGTCATAAAGTCCCGCATGGCGATGCGGAGGAGGTACATGGCGCGGTCCACGTCCAAACCGCCCAGCTGTCCAAGAGAGAGAGAGAGAGAGAGAGAATGACCACAACATGAGAACACTCAAACGCTGCCTTGGCTGTGCACACAACACGCGTAATAATAATAATAAATAAATAATAAATAATGAAGGTGTAGGGCGAGCGCACCATTTTGTTGGTGGTGTCCTTGGGGAGACTGTTCTTCCTGTATCGTCGGACGATGGTCTTGCGGAGGAGCGTGGCCTCGTCGAGCTCCTCGTCCTTCTTGCCCTTCTTGCCCCCCGCCTTGGCGGCGGTCTTGGTGTCGCCCCTCTTTCGCTTCTTCTGTCCCTCCTCCTTCTTCTCCGGCTCGCCTGCGGCGGCCCGCTTCTCCTTCTCCTCGGCCGCCTTCTTGGCCCGCTCCGCCTCCTCTTCCTCGTGCGCGGCCTTGACCCGCTCAAAGAAGCTCGACGTCTTGTAGTCGCGCGAGGGCTTGCCGGCCAGCAGGACTGCACACCACCGCCACCACCACCGCGGTCAGCGCCCGCCCGCACGCTTCGAATTTGTGAATGGGAAGAGAGGGCAGCACGCACTCTTGACGATGTAGAAGATGCCGCCCGAGAAGAGGTCGGCCGAGAGGCTCTTGGTGTGCATGGCGCGCTCCACGAAGGTACCGAGCAGGTCGTGCAGGTACTCCGTCTGCGCCACGCCCTTCGGGTAGCTGTTGTGTGCGGCGTGCGTCATCGGTCAGCTGAAGAGTTCTCAGAGGCGGCAATGTGTGGTGGTGTGGGGGGGGGCAAACGTACTGCTTGCTCTTGAACAGGCGCTTGAGGAAGCCGGCCAGCTTGGTGGAGAGCTCCTGCTGGTGCTTGCTCTGGGCGGAGTCCCTCACGGCCGCGGCCAGGGGTCCGATCATCTCGGGGATGAGGTGTGAGTCGTGCTGCCTCTTCACGAAGATCTCGAGCAGGTCCAGCACGCGGCACTTGAAGTGCTTGACGCTCTCGCGCGCGTCCCGCTCGTTGGTCTTCTTCTCCTTCATGTTCTTCAGCACGGCCACGATCTTCTCGTCCATCTTGAACATGGCGGCGTCATCGAGCAGTTCTTCCTCTTCCTCCTCCTCCTCCTCCTCACTGTCGCTCGACTTGTGCTTGCTGGTGTCCAGCGATGTGTCGGCCTTGCTCTCCTCCTCCTCCTCATCGTCGTCGTCATCACTGCTCTCCTCTTCGTCTTCATCATCGCTTTCCTCGTCGTCGTCATCGTCGTCGTGTTCATCTTCGTCCTCCTCTACCTCCTCCTCATCGTCTTCGTCTTCGATGCCGAAGAGGGTGGAGTCCCGCTTGCCGGTGACGACCTCGACCAGCGCTTGGCACGAGGACGACGTCATCTGCGAGGCGAAGAGGCGGAAGGTGCGGGTCACCAGGTCGCGCAGCTGCGACGAGGCCTTGGTGAGGAAGCTGATGAGGATGTCCACCAGCACGGCCATCGGCTCGGGCTCCTCCCCCTGCTCGACCTCCATGGCGTCCTTGCTCTTCCGCTTGTCCTTCGTGCTGCTGCTGCTGCCTTTGGCCGGGGCCTGGGCGGCGTCGATCCGCTTCCAGCACTCGAGCAGGTCCTCGAGCGCACCGACGAGCTCGTTGTCGTGGATGACGTAGGTGTGGAGGAACAGCAGGAGGATCGCGAAGCCGCGCGCGCGAGCCGCGTTGGCGTCCTTCTCGATGGCCTCGCCCTTCTTGAGGCGCTGCTGCTCGGACTTGTGGATGGCCTGGGCCACGTCGAGGATCTGGACCTGGAGCTGCTTGGCCTCCTTGCTCAGCTGCGGCACGAACCGCAGCGCCGCCGAGGCGCTGAGCTGCGTGTGGAAGTGCGCAATCTTCCACACCCACAGCTCGCCGTCCGCGCATTGACCTGTGTGCGCGCGATTGTGAGCGTAAATACGATGGCAGCGAGTGAGAGAGGGAGGGGCGGTGAGTCGCGCACCATCGAAGAAGGGGTTGCGGTGGTGGTCCTTGTCCTCCTCTTCTTCATCGGCATCCTGGTCGGCCTTGTCCTCCTGGGCCGCGGCCTTGCGGTTCTCCCTCTGGCCCAGCGGGGGCAGGGTGGCGACTTCGCCCAGCAGCACCAGGAATCGCTCGCCGCAGAGCGATCGGGTCTTGCCGGAGAGCGGCGGCGACGGCACGCGCAGCAGCCCCTCCTCCTTGAGCAGGCCGGCGACGGGGCCGTCGATCTTGTCGACGCTCTGTGGCGCGTAGAAGGCGTGGTAGAAGCAGAAGCGGAGCAGGGAGAGGAACCACTTCTCGTCCTTGTGCACGCCCCGGGCGCGGGCCATTTCGTTGAGCTTGTTGAGCGCCCACAGGCGCGAGGACTCGGCGCCGCCGGCCTCCTTCTCCTTGCGCTTCTCGGCCTTTTGCTTGTCGCCGTAGAACATGTCCTTCAGGTATTCGGTGAATGTGTGCACCTCCTTGACATCGAGCGCCTTCATCAAGTCGGTCGTCGTTCCTGATAATATTACGTTGTGGGCGGGGGCTCATGAGCTCTCTGGCGGTTCTCGCCAACTGACGGCCCATGCCAAACACCTGGGTGTCTAAGGGAGACGTACGGGTCTTGGTGAAGAAATCGAATTGCTTGCTGGCCGCAGCGAGCTGCATGAGCACCGCGAGGCTCACCTCGGAGCCTCTTCGGGCCAGCGGTGCGAGGGCAGTGACCTGTGCATCGGAAAAAAGAAAAGCAAAGCAAAGAAAAGAAAAGAAACCGTGCGTCACAGGTTACTAACTCTCTCGTCAAGAGCGAGAAAGAAGACCGGGGTGAGGCGCGTACGGTTTGCTTGGCGACGGCCTGGAGGTGGATGCTGCCGGACGACTCCTTGAGCATGCGTCGGATGAACGCTCGCGTGAGTACGACGGGGACCTGTTCGGCCGAGGCATGAGCCAGCACCTGCTCCACCAGCTGGTAGGCCAGGTACTGCGTGTTGTGGGTGGCGGTGAAGAGCTCGCCTGTGGTGGTGGTGGTGCGTTAGTTTCAGTGCCCGCACAATTGATCGCAGTGAATGAGCAACGCACCCTCGACCACTTCGTTCCAGAACTTGCTCAGCACGTCCTTCTCGGACTTCTCGGAACACAGACGGGGCAGCAGCGTGTCCCAGAGGGAGTGAATCTGAACGAATATTGAAAGCGTGTGTGAGCGATTCTGTCACACAAACAAAACAACAACAACGACAGCGCAACTCCATGGAGCATAGCACTATACCTTGGGGTGGACATAGACGCTCTGCTTGCAGATTTGCTTGAGATGCTTGATGTTGTCGACCTGGACGATCCTGCCACCGTTCTTGGAGGACCACTTGCCGTTGTGTTCGCTCACGTTGAGCTGGAAGAGTTCGTTGAGGTGGATGACGAGGGTGAGGAGCTCCGGCGACCACGAGTTGGCGTCGGCCTTGACGCGCTCCAGGATGACGGGCAAAATGTGCTCCTCGAAAAACTTCTTCTCAATCTGCCGTTGGTGCGGGCACGAGCTTGCACGGTGAGACTCTCACGAGCGAACGGCTTCAAGTGGGTCCAGAGAAGAAGAAGAAGAAAGAGAGAAAGAGGCGGAGGAGTCAGCGCACCTGAGAGAGGAACGTGATGATGGCCTGGTGGGCAATCTCGGCAAGGAACGACTTCTTGTCAGCGAGTTGGAGGAGGCGCTGCACGACGTCGGCCGCCGCGTCCGACTCGACGGCCGTCTTGGATCCCTTGGTGGCGGGTGTCGCAGCAGCAGCAGCGCGAGAACCGGGCTGCACGAGCCTGCCGGAGCGGATGATGGCCAGGAGTCCGAAGACCTGTCCGAACAAAACATCCCTCTCCTCCTACCGGGCGCCAACGAAAAGAAAGAGGCGATGAGAGGGAGCCCACGACGCAGCGAGAAGAGGAGGGGGGTGAAGCTATTGTGTGCTGGTGGCGAAAAAGAAAGATGGACGACGTACGGGGCCGGTAGCGGAACCCGGCACGGTGAGGTTGTCCTTGATGAGTGTGAGGACTTCCCGGACCGACACGACGGCGAATGTGTGGAGCACCTGTCAACCCACAGCCCATCTCAAAGATCAGCTTCCAAAACGATGCGGGCAGATTTTATGGATCGGGGTTGGAGATTAAATCTTCTCTCGCAAATTGCGACTAATTGAAGGAGATGAAAGGAGGGGATGCAGGGGTGGCTTTTCATAGGAGAGAGAAATGAAGACAGCGAGTCGAAGGTGTACCTCCGTGAGGCCAAGTGCGAAGCCCTGGCGCGCACCATCGCGGTAGGAGCTGAGGCCCCGCACCAATCGCTTCAGGGCGTAATTGAGGTCCTCAGAGGGCGTCTGCTGGCCCTGCTGCTTGGCCTGTAGGGCCTTTATGAGCTGCGTGGTGGTCTTCACGCGCGTCGCCACATCCAGGTCGCCCAGCGAGCCGAACAGTTCCAGAATACCGCTATCTCTCTTCGTCATTTTACTTCAATTCTCTTCTCCGTATTCTACTTCCGGTGTTTGAGATACTGTGATATTGCCCTCTTAGGATCAAGAATGGCAGAGCAGCAAGATGAGGGTCGAGATGGGCCTGGCCCGAGCAATCGATCCGGAATCAATCAAAGAGAGGCAAAGGGAAAGAACGGAGAAAACGGACTTGGCCTTGCCCGACGCGCCACCGAACAAAGAAAGGAAATAGAAGAGAAATTCATTTTGTGGCCGCTGCAGCTTGACAGCTCACTTGCCACGACTCGACGACTTCTTCGTCTTCAGGATCCTGGCGGCTGCGCGGCTGCCGGCCGACTGCGCGACAGTCCGCTTGGCGGTTCTCCTGGCCTTCTTGGCTGGCTGCTTTTCTTCCTCTTCTCCCTCTTCTTCCTCGTCCTCGTCCTCGTCCTCTTCCGCTTCGTTGGTCTCTTCCTCCTTTTCCTTCTCCTTCTTTCCCTCCTTATCTTTCCTCTTTCGAGACACGGCAGAGGCCTCGGTCTTCTTCTGCATATCGACGAACATCAATGGGGGGTCAATGTCATGTCCGGAAAGCTCTCAACGCGTTGGTTTAGGGTCCGTACCGTGCCGGTGGGCTCCGACATGAACTTGGCCATCTTCCGCACGTAGGCATCGACGTCGAACTTGCGCTTGCACCCCGCGTAGTTCATATACCGCACCTGCGTTGGTGGCGAGGGCAGCGCCGTGAGCTCAACAACCAAAAGAAAAGCTGGAGAGGGTCTTGGCGTGTTCACACCTTGCCGAACACTGGCCTTTCCTTCCACCCCTGGTCGTGCACGCCGCCAATGGCCCAGGCACAGCCCACATACCCGTTGGGATCGCGCCCGTCTGCAATGTGTCCGTTGTTGGCATCAATGATCGCTTGGCCGCTAGCATGGTCAGCAAGAGGATGCAGGCGCACCGATTTCGTAGTGGTCGTTGAGCTTCACCGCAAACTGCATCGCCTGCTGCGGGCTCTCGGTCCATTCGAGAATCTTCTTTGCCCAGTACATCCGCATGAAGCCGTGCATCTTGCCCAAGTGGACCATCTGCTCTCGCCACACGCGACCGATGAATCAGCCAATGGCCTGGCACCTACAACGGCCAGAGCGCGTGGCGGCATAGTTGCATACCTCCATCTGTGCGGCATTCCACAGCTCGTCGTGAGTCTTGCCGCGCTCGAGCTCCTCATACGTGTAGAGCGACGACCTGCGCAACGAAGAGTGTCAACAGCGTGTCAAGCGCATGCGAGAGCGATGTGAAGTTGCGCACCTCTTGTCCGCGGCGTGTTCTTCCAGGCTCTTTCTCGCCCAATCGGGGAATCCCTCGAACTGGTCGTAGTGCTGGTTGTAGTAGCAGAAGTTGTCGGCCAGCTCACGGCGCACGATAAGCTCCTCGAAGTAGGCCTCGTAGCTCTCCTTGGCCTTGGCTTTGTGCTATGAGTATGAGACGCGAATGTCGAGGAGAGGTAAGTTCCTTTAGAAGGACGACCGCAGGAATTCATCCAGTCCGAGCGCACCTTCATGGCCTCCAGTATGATCCGCTGAGCGCTTAGCTGTCCGTAGTGCAGGTAGGCACTGAGATTCGACTGTGGTGTGGTTTGATGCATGTCAGTTCACTACACTCCAGCATTGAGCGTGCGCGTTGCTCCTACCTGGCCGTCCTCCACAGGGGTGTTCCTCTTGCTGTTGTAGTCTTTGAGTTTCTTGGTGAGGAAGAGATCGAGCATCCTGCGCCCCTCCTTCTCCTACGTTGCGAGTAAGCCGTTAGTTGGGTCAATAATCGCGAATACATCCGAGGCAAGCTTGCCGCGTACCCCAGGCTTGAGCCAATCCAGCTCGGGAACGCTGTCATCGACGTGTTCTCGGACGTAGGACCACACCGAGTCCCAGTTCACCTCGGGAATGGCGGGCGACCATTTGTTGCCACCGTTTCTCTTGCTGTGATCGCGCAGCGCGGGGAACTCGTGCAGGTATTCTACACACAGGCAGAACGCAGTACGTCAGAGCTAGCCCGCGGCCAATACACAATGCATTCCATCATGACAACGTACTGGGTACTTGTTTGTGGATCTTGGGCCTGATGGTGCGGGCAGCGTACTCCTGCTTGGGCGACACCTCCCAGAGGGGCACCAAGTTGTGGGCATCCACTTAAAAGTGAAGGTACGACGAAGAGTTCGTGAGTGGCCGATGGCTTGGACTGGCGGAGAGAGGGAAGTACCCTCATAGACAAAGGCGTTGGTGGCTTCCGCCACCTCCTCGCGCCACTTACGGCCGATGCGGAGCGGCGAGAAGTCGCAAACGAGATGGGAGGCCCCGTAGGTCTTGAGCGCCTTGGGGAGCTCGTCTTGTGGGAGGCCCTTGAGCAGCAGCATGGGGATGCCGCGCGAGTTGAGAGTCTTCTCCACCTCCGTAAGGCCCCGCACCATGAACCCAAAGTGCCTGCACGTGTGGCCTGCGGTTAGCCCCCCCCCAACGCAAAGCAGAGACTGAGGTGGTGAGGGCAGATACCGGATGCTGGCACCCTTGAACGAAGGCAGCAGACAGAACGCCACAGCTAGTGGGACACCCGACTTGACCGCCAGTTCTGCGTGTGGGTCACCAGACCAACATGCATGAGTGGTGAAGGGCGCTTGCCGAGTAGCGGGGGGGGGCAGTTACGTTGTGCGTAGAGGAGAGCCCAGTTGTCATTGGCACGCTGGTCGCGGCTCATCCAGTAGACCACTCCAGTGGCCTTCCTGCCTTCCTTGCCTTTGGGTTCGTGCAACACCCGCACGCGCTCCTTGGCCACCTTTGCTCTTCCCTGTTCCTCTTCTTGCTCTACCTCGAAGTCTTCATCTCTTGATTCTGCTGGTAGATTTGATGGAGGATTGTCCACCATCCAAAGTGAGGCAGGGAGGCAGGTACCTGAAGCGGAAGGTGCGTCCATGCTGTGTTGGGCTGTGTGGGTGTATGCCGCGTTGGGCGTGCGTCTTCTACTCGCCACCGGCACCTGGCAGCCAGGTGAGTCATGATCGCCGCAGCACGCGTGGCCTTTGTTTCTTTTTTACGCCCCGATGACGCACTCGCCGCTCATCACGGCCTCTTGGCGCCAACAGTTCCACATCAAGAAGACTGACGCTTTGGGCTCACAATGAGGTGACCTTCTTTGTTTTCTACATTTATACACAACGTAACGTCTATGCGGACGGGCTCAGAGTGAGCCAACTCTTCCTCTTCTTCTCCCCGTCCGCTATTCACCAGCGTTGGGGAGGAATTCTTTGATGATGTACTCGAGCTGCATCTGCCTGCTCTTCTTCATCTTCGTGGCGATGAAGGGAGAGTGCAGCGCCGCTCGCTCGCCGTTCATCACTGTGGTGATTCCAGATGTGCGCAAGGGTAAGCCTCAAAGACAGGGAGACAAGGCACATCATATGAGGGGTTAGATGGACGCACGTTTGGTGAGTAGGAAGTCCCTGAAGTATTCGTTGTGCTTGAATGTCGGTGGGTTAGGAATGGGCGGTCCGAATTGGGGCACACCCTTTCGTGAGCACACGGCCAACTTGTACCCATCTGCAGATGCATCATATATCAGCAAACGCCCGTGGCCGCGTGAACCGCCAGAAGCCAGCGGGCTCGAGAATTTGGGGGGAGGGTAGGGGATGTGTACCTTCACCGTCCTCTGTCTTGCACGGCTGTACGACACCAAAAACGTGGAGAAAATCGCCAGACACGCACGGCGGATGAAAGGAGTCTCCTTCCCTAGAGTCGCGAGCCAGAGGGATAGGTCAGCACTTGCCGGGGCGCAACGCACGGTATGGATTTATGCGGCAAGGAGGCGAGCACGTACAGGAAGACGATGGTCACCAGGTCATTTCCGATGTATTTCTTTCTTGGGATCTGCTGTGGGTCGTAGGCGTCGTAGGGGAGGTAGGTCGACACGTGGAACATCACCTGCGGGGAATACCAACAGCCAACCGTTAGCATCGATGGCTTGCTGTGCGTGCGTGTGTGAATAAAAAGCAACGCGGAGGCAGAAGCACCTCGATTTCATTGTGTAGTTTTGTGTAGACCGAGTATTCGCCGTTCTTGTTTTGGTTGACGTCCAAGTCGCCTCGATAGCCCTTCCATCCTTCGAGCGTTACCTTGTCGCCCAAGAGTTCCAGAAACCGATCGAACGCCTCGCTTGACTCCTCTGTTTGATGTGGTTCATCCCGTGAGGTCAGCAATTGTTTGAGCCACTCTCATTGTGTACGTACGATTTCCAAGGATCTCCTCTTCTGACTTCTGTCCTTCTTTCGCGTAGAGCACACCTACATGCACGAGATTTAGATGATGACGTTGATTGCACGGGGGGGGGTACAAGGCGTATCATACCAATCTTGTAGCATCGGACCTCGCGTTTCTTGAGGTCTTCGTGGTGCAGCAGTTCCTTGGATAGCTTGGGGTCGGTGACATGCCACAACTTCAGAACGGGCATCGACGCCTTGAGGAGCTTGATGACTTTCTGTAATCGGCGGACGGTGAGCGGGCGGTCACAATAA